TCAAACGATTTAGTAAGACTGGTTGGGTGTGGTTTTGTCAGCAGTTCTGCTCGGATGCAAACAGCTTGTTAACTGAGGCCATTTCATAGGTAAGTGCTGCTAAAAAGTGTATGAGCAAAAGAGGTCGAGACACTTCGGACGTTACTCGCTCCGTCGACGTGCAAATCGACGTGAAGTCATCTCGAGTGAGCTCTGTAACAGCTGGCTCACATCGGTCAAAGTAGCAAAGGCCAACATGAAACAGTTCTTGCCCCAATGAAAACCCAAGAAAGGAAGTTTCTTCTGTCCTCTTCCCCTAAATAGTAGCCGACGGAAATCTCAACCGTAAGGCTAGATCTTTTTCTGTCAGGGAAAATAACCTGACAGTACAAGTCGTCGATAAACTATCGGAATCTCGCAGTGTGTTTGATGCGACAGTAGTTGCTATGTCAAGGAAAGTTGATGAATGGGGAAAGCACAAGAGCAGACACAACGCTATCAAAGAAAATCTAACCCCCTATAAAGTAGTCAAGAAATAAAAAATTGATCACAGTGACAAGTCAGTCATCCTTTACAAAATCAAGGAGAGTAAAATCTGAGAACCTTGAACTCATGTTGAGCATGATATTGGGTTTATAAAACATACCAAATCAGCCAATGCCTCAGAATGTCACCGTAATCACTTTGCTAAATGTGTGTAGACTAGGTGGCCAAACGAACAGGACACAAAATCAAACAAGGATGCTTAAAGTAGTGTTTAAATATCCTAAGTAAAGCACTTAATATTACAGAATGGACATAATCTAAAATCAGATTTTGTCCGCAAGGATTTGCCGCTCGCAGACCGTGTAAGAAGACGAGAAGACGATAAACATGGTTGAAATCCTGGCGAAAAGGACCTGAAAATCGCAAATTTTCACGTTATGAAGCTTCGACAAAGAATGGTCCCAAAGCCACTATGGTGCAAAACGAAGCCAATTAAATAGACTTCGAATCTGTTACGGAAATGCACTAAGCGGTCGGAACTAGGTGTACAGGTTGACTCCAAAACGGCAGGAATAATCGCAGTAACGGTTTTAAGTAATTCCTGAAAAGTCTGTAGAATTACAGTCTACTTCGTTATTAGTAATTCTATGGTAATAGATCTGACCCCACAATCTTAGTTTTATCATGATGTAACTGCCTAATATATAAGATCTTACGTCGAAGTCACATTATTGTCTACACTGACTCATCGTATCGTAACAATCACCAATATACGACGGAGAACACATTTAGGCTGGAGATAGAACAATATATTTTATATGAGTAAAAGTTGTACAGAGCGACCATGCCTGCGAGGCTGAACCATATCACCTGAATAATTAATTCAACCTTCTCGTTTTCTCTATCGTTGGGGTTTTTCTCCACGTTAAATGTTGAATATTTGTTTCCCTGATTGTTTGGTGTTGAGGCCCAACGCCACCACGAGTCTGCATGCTTCGTGAAACCAATCTTTACTTTTTTTGCACTGCATACCACAGGTGATAGCAAAACGGACAAAGGTTGCATTCAAGTGTTCTTATGACACATGGTGAGATATAAGTTGTTAAACAAGTCCTAGCAAAAGTCTACGACGGTGAAGAAGAAACTTCCTGAAACAGATAAAATTGATAAAAGCGGGTTGCAAAAAGTTCGAAAATAGTGAAACTGTCCTCGGTATGAAAAACCTGAGAAACAAAGTAGCAAACTGAGACGAACCACACTAAAGTTTTAAAAGAAAAGTAGTTTGCCGGACGTTAAGAACGGAGCAGATTTTCTGAAAGAAAAATAATGCTTTTGATGCATAAAGAAAGTGCAAAATTTATGTTAATACTTTTCGTTAGTAAAGCACGCATTTTTGTAATATTTTTGCAATGTTATTTTGGGGGTAGAATGTTCATATTTAAGTGACTAGGAGTGCTTAAAAGGTTGCAGACCACTATCAAATCGCTTTGTGCTCCCACGTAACTCAGCAGAAACAATCAGGGCTGTCGAAGTTGGTCTTCATTCAGGTTGTTGCTAGATTTTTTGACGTACTTTGCAGTGCATCTCAATAGTGATCCCAGGAGATTCATAAAATCTCTGAGCGGAGGAACTGATATTACACTGTGGGTATCCTATCAAGAGTGAGTTTTGGTCTTTAACAATGTCAGACAGAGCTCCATTGTCAATGTCCGGAGCTGCCTTTTGATTAAATGAATAGTTTTCTAGCTACACAGCGTTGCTAACGTGTCTTGGTTTACAGGCACTGACAGCAATAGATATCGATCCCATTCAATCGAAAGTTTGAAAGGGCAGCGAATGCAGAGGAATTAGCCAGCCCGAGCCGTTCTCTATTGTCCATTTTTCTAGCAGTGTTGGGTCTCTTTGGAGCTCATCCGAATCAGCCTCAGTTCTAACTAGTTTCTACATTAGATGTCATCCGTGTAGACATTATATGGGGATCTAAGTTAAACTAGATGATCACTGATGAATTCTGTGCGCTAAACACATAATAATGTTTATCTATGTTTTGTCCCACAATCAGAAACACAAAAAGATTTTTACATTATTTTTGACGCTAATCTGCTTGATTTTAGTCAACACAACAGAGTGTAGCACCGTGACAAACGCTTGTCAAAGTTCGAGAGAGGACTACTGATTGTCATATCTTCAATATCTGAATTAAGTCCAATTATTGTAGAGATAGGTCACTTGTTGGAAAAGAAAGAGCTATGGTCCATCGTCTAAATACGACGAGATGTATTTAATTAATACCTGTTACTTACTGAAGGTGACTTCCAGGAAATGTTTTAGTACTTACTGCAGTGTTACATGTTCGGCGCACCTTGTTATTGCCGTCAAAACATCTAATTGTCCATTGTGGCTCTGCGCATGATGTAATTGTGTGCCGACATGGATGTCGAAAACTTCGATAATTCCAAGGTCAGCAGCGGTTTTGTCTCAAAGTCTCATAGTGGAAGAAACTCCATGATGTGTGTTTTTTCTTGATGTAAAAATCAATACAGATTCTTTTGGTTAAATTGCGACTTCATAGCCAAGTTTATTTCGAATGATCTATTATCTCGCCTTACCTTCATGTTGAATTTGTTTCTTAATACCATGCACAGTTTACAGTTGGTGTCCTTGAGTGAGACTCGCCATCTATTTTAGTCACTTCGATTTGGCTAGCTTTGTTCAGAATTTTACCGCAGCTGGATTGTGCAGATTTTGTGCAACGTTTTCCCACATGGCAACGTAAACGTGATCTTTACAATGTTTCAGTGTTTGTCAGTCGAAATTATTGGTCATTGTTGGAGCAAGTGAGAGTACATTCTGATATGGCTTTGTAAATTCATCAGGGGTTGCGGGATATAAAGCATTCTTTTCTCTTCGGAGGATTATATTTGTGATCAGATTAACTGTAACCGTGCTGCAGTTACTGTAACCTGTTGGTGCTTTGTCATGCATATCCTCAACAAGAAACACATTACGGCAATCTGTCTAATCTAATTGTTTCCTTTATTTCCACATCTTTTACAGGCGTTCGCATATTCAATGAGTCTTGAGTTTTCCATAGTTTCAACTCATTGTCCAATTAAGAATTTATTTAATTTATATAATCAACTGTTAGAATGAGTCGCTCTTCCGATTTTCTAAATACCTGTCGTGTTACTGGGCATGTGCGTTTTAAGGTTAAGTATGTTTTTCAAGAGGTGAGTAGTAACAAATTTCAGGTTACATTTATGCGAAAGTTTTATTTACTTGGAACCGTGATGACCATGGTGATGTGGTTACCCAAAAGTTTATTCGTTCGTCATGAAGTCATGGACAAGTGTTGAAAGGAGTTTTGTAGATGCGCAGTACCTGAAAAGCGAATGAAACCTCGAACTATCAAAATAGCTTACAGGATATTGATGATGTCACAGGTATTCAGTGTTTGACAACGCTTCTACCAGTAACACCTAATATATTTCGTTCCCGAGCAGAGAAATCAAAAGACAGAGTCGAGGAGATCGGAAGAGTATATTTGGCGATGACCAATATATCAGAATTCTCTGATCTAATCTGGCTAGCGATTGCGGTTGATGTTGAGCACGGCGTTACCACACGTGATCTGGTGCGGATGCATGACCGAGCGCCTTCAGCTAGATGAGTCCAATAAAACATATGGTCAGCATCCAATGTCGAAAACTTACAGAGCTATTTATTTTGGGGATTTATTTACCACTACAGATCACTCTCCTCCTAGTGGGGCAGTGATGACCCTAAGACGTGGCCAGCCAGAAGTTTAAACCAAACGAGTTTGTCGTTGGTAAACACTCTTCTGATAGCTTACTAAATTCAGCAGCGTCTGGTCGTCTTTCCTTACTATATGAGACCGAAGTACAACATAGTAAAAAACGTCATCGTTCTTTTCCAGCCGTCCTTGAAAAGAAAAAAGAAAATATAACTGCATGTCGAAATGCACTCGTATGTGCGTAAAAACACAATGTCGGCGGAAAAAAAAGGAAAATAAACTCATGAACACGTAATAACGTTAAAAAATTTTTTTTTGTTTTTTTTAAATAGAAATAAAAATATATAAGCATATTAAAATTGTTTCTTTTTAAAAAAAACTTACAGAGCTATTTAGTTTGGGGATTTATTTACCGCTACAATATCATTAGTCAGAAAGAATCATGGACGAAGTTTAAATGACATCAGCTTTATTCAGTAGCTTTAAAAATGGACAATCGCAAAAGCCCTCATGACTAAATAGCCATGAGAAAGTTTCTTGTTATTACTCATTCGTTTGCTTTCCTTTCTTGGAATGAGTTAAGAATATAAAGTGCCTGAAACTTGACCAATAGTTCTCAGACAGAAAGTCTTCGAGGTTGATGATATTTCTCTCATATCTATTCACGAAGAGTGTTTATACTTTCTTATATATAAAAATACCAGCTCACCATACATTCGTCGCAGCTCGTTCCGTGTTTTTAGGCTTATCACTTTGGCGGTTCTTTTAACATTGTGTTGCCATGGCTTCGTCTAGTATTTTAGTTGAGACTGGTTCTGTGGTTAGTTTATGTATTATGTATGTTTTTGATGCGTCATCGTACAAGTAAATTGGTTTTCATTCATCGGCTGTTATTAATAAACCTGCTAAATGCTTTGCTAAGTGCTGAGCTTATGTCTGTATAGGAACTGATAGCTGTAGAAAAACTGGTCAGTTTTAATGGTGAGACCATAATTTATGAACGACTTTTGAGAAACGCTAAAGTGGCCTTGAGAATGTCTATTCACTGATTATGGTTAAATGAGGGTTTCAAACGTTTATGAAGCATAAGGACTGTTTTACTGTTGATTGTTAGGGATGGAGATTAGATGTAGGGTTTTCATCACGAATTGACATAAGCTAACATGCCAACACGCTATTTAGCCAAATGGATCAGGAATTTCGCGCCGAAATCCAAGACCTGTTATCATAAATCTGGTTGGCTTGTCCCTTAGCTATGGCTTCGTCGTTCTAATATTTGTTAACTGTAGGGAACCTGTTTAACATGGGTCATTCTTCCTTCTTGTCTTTTAAAATCGTCTGTTATGTCCTAGATGTTATGATACAGTAGTACTGAGGAATGTCTTAGGTTCAAAACCACTTAATATTTTGCCGATCAACATTTGATCGACTCCTATGGTAAGATGGCTGAGGCTTAACTTCCTCAGCTACCCTATGTATGGTAGGCTTTGTAATTCTAGAGTTATATGGGTAGTTTTTCTCTGTACTTTTGCAAGACTTCCGAGTCATCTCTTAAACAGGTTTGCAGCCTGAACACATTTTTCAAGTTTGGATATCACTAAGGTTGTCTATTCTTGGGACTTGGAAAATGCCCGCCCCAATGTTCATGGGATTCTGAACCCCATGGCTTCAGTCTCGCAGTAATAGTTTGTAGTCTTGATATCTTAGGTTAATATTACCCCTAACTTGTCATGAGACAGGACTAAGAGCACAGAAAGTTCCCTAATGATGTAGCTATTTACCGTTGTATCTCCAATGTACATGTAGACACACAGCTGCATTGTTAGGCATCAACCACAATTTAGACCAGTTAGCCATAGTGCACTTGCATCTACATCTTTTTTTTTGCTTCACGCCAGATTTTAATGTCAGCGTAAAGTAGCATTGGGCTGTCCACTATCTACGTTTGTGTTTTATTTCATCATAGACCTACTACTGGAAACAACGTTCTCGTTGACTGAATTTTCGGGAATTGATCTACCAGGAAGTCGACCTACTGACTTAGAATATGGAGATAACATAGTCCTGTTTAGTTAAGACGCTGATAAAATGCAGTTTTTTGATAGCACTGAGTCAGTCAGTCAGCTACAACGTAGGACCAGGCACATATATGCATCGGTCCAAGTTGCCATACCTCACTAACACAACAAGATGAACACCGGATTCATAGGAGTGGTTAAGTCAATGGTGGTAATATATAAAAGAAAGATGCATATAAGGATATAGTACAGGAAGAAAGAAAGATAAGAAGCGATTATAATCTTTTAGTTTAAGGGAAGACCGAGAGCGTATACACCTACGCCATTGTGACCGATTCTGAGCCATGTCACCAAGAGTCTCCGACCCCTCCTTACGATATTCACGCGGACCCAAACCACGTAGTCTGCATCTACCGACATGGCTCAGACTAAAAGTTAGTGACTTCAAGCAGTGATGCCACGTTTTGATTTGGTCACCTCTAACTTTCTTCTAACCATCCGCAACATCGGTTAGTATTGCACGTCGTGATAATCGGTGTTCAGGCATACGTAACACGTGGCCGAATCACTGAGCAACAATGCCGGGATGTTTGAGATGTGTTTCTCCCTCTCGAGATGCAGGTTGTTGCTTCAGGATATTTTTGTTAAATTTCATCATAGACCTACTGCTGAAAACAACGTTCTCGTCAGCTGAATTTTCAGGAATTGATCTCCTATCAGGAGGTCCCCCTACCGATTTAGAATACACAGATGACAGTCCTGTTTGGTGGAGACGCTGATAAAATGCAGTTTTTTGATAGCACTGAGCAACAATGTCGGGATGTTTGAGATGTGTTTCTCCCTCTCGAGGTGCAAGTTGCTGCTTCAGGACTGATCTGCGTCAACACCTGAACTAATGATAGGGAGTGAAGTAGTCGAACGCGTCGACAACATCACTTATCTTGGGAGTCTGGTCAGCCCTAATGGGTTTGGTGTCTGACGAAATCTCTGCACGCTTTTGAAAGGCTAGTTTGGCTTTTGCCAACTTACGTTACTTGTAGCGAAGGCGAGATATCCATCCATCAGTTTGTTCTGTTCTACTTTACGGCTGCGAAACGTGGCCATTAAGAGTAGAAGATACTCGTAAATTGATAGTATTTGATCACAGATGTTTTAGAAATATTGCTGACACCTGAGATCACCGGGTGGGTAATGGTGATGTTAGATACAGGGTATTAAGGAATGATGATAAGTCAGTTGATAAAATTGTGAATCTACATCGACTGAGATGGTTGGAGCACGTATTATACATACCCAACCACCGGTTACCATGACGTGCAATGGTGACTAGTGTTAGAGATGGTCGGAAGAAAGTTAGAGCTGGCCAAACCAAAACGTGGGATCAGTGCTTGAAGTCACTAACTTCTAGTCTGAGCCATGTCGGTAGATGCAGACTACTTGGTTGGTGTCCGCGTGTTTATCGTAAGGAGTGGTTGAAGACTGAATGACATGGCTTAGAATTGATCACAATGGTGTAGGTGTATACTCTTTGTCTTCCCTTAAACTGTAAGAATACTTCATACCTTTCTTTCTATGAACTAATTCTTTCTCCCTGTGTCATATTCTTATATGCAATCTTTTATATATTTATACCATTTAGGTAACTGCCTCGATTTATTTCGTGTTCTTGCTGTGTTAATGAGGTATGGTAACTTGGATCGATGCATTAACGTTGTAGCTGAAAGTACTGGTATATATATATACCAGTTATAACAGAATACCCAATCCTCGTAATTCATACAAAGATCCGGCTTATAAACATTTTATAACGAGAGATTATTCATGAAACGTTGATCCATCTACCTACAACAAATTCAGAAGTCTTTTTAAGATCATTGCCAAATGAGTTTTTTTAATTATGCGTTGTACATAGTACCTCGTTGAAACAGTGTGTAATATGGTTTGTAGAGTTTCTTGAATCTAAGAGGCATCACGCTTACTGGCCAGAAGATCATACAGAGTTTTATTACTTCATTTGGAGAGATACTGGATAAAAAATAGTCATATTCGCTAGCAAAAATGTTGTGAAGGACCCAACTCACTGTGTTAATTTCTTCTGAAATTACTTTTGTCAAATTTTAGTTCTGTTTAGTTTCCAGTCATATTTAGTGATACTTTTTATTGTCTCATTCTGAGTTTTTAGCTGCTGGTTCGCTCTCAAAACAGACCTTATATCGATTCATTGCTGTTTGATTATTTTCCAAACCAATATGTCCCTCAAAGTGGGAAATCGTTGGTTGAAGTTTGCCAGCCATCTTCCTGTGAATGCTCTGAATTTCTTCACCAAAAGTTAATGCAATGCGTTCTCCCAAAAACATTTAGTGGGTTTCACTTGAATGGTTACAATACACATTGTCTTCTTATTGACTGTGGGGGTCGGTTTTGTCCATCAAAGTTTGGAGTGTTTGTTCGCAGACATTTACAAGACGAAATACCTGCTTTGAAATTTGAGCACAACCAGTATGAAGTGTTTTTAGAAGAAGTTCGTTCCCTAATTTCTTGATATTCTTCTAACAGATGTTGTCTAGGGTTCATATTATTCGTGTATTTACAGATTGTGAACTCCTTTTGGCTTTTTCTTACTCACGAGAAGTTATCAAACAGCATCCAGTTTCTTGTCTTATGATTAGTGCGATGAATGCTTTTACATATTTGGAACGTTTACGCTACAATTCGTGGAAGAGTCTTGTTAGTCAGCACTCAATCTTGATGGGTATTTTGCTCCGCGTGATTACCGACTTTCAGCTTCTCTGTATTATCATCATGAAGTACTCCCCTGATATTCATGTTCTAAATGATTCTTTGAGTACTGATACTGAGATGTTTCACTCGAATAACTCATTAAGCTCTGAAACAAGGAACGATCATTGGTCGAAATATGTAACTCATAAAATCGAATTAATTGACTGTGAGCATTCCTTCGTATCATATATCAAACATGAATCTAGTATGAAAGTGATAAAAGACACAAGAGTTTCTTAGTTAATGGTTATTTTTGTAAAATAAAAAGATTTGTTTTCCTACTCCTCTTGGTTTACTAATGTAATAGATGCTAAATTTTCACTCCATAGTTGAAAACAAACTATCCATATCTCTGACAAAATGGTGATAAAGTCAGGTCTTGCTACTGCCAGATCTTTAAACATTATGAGGTTTACGCTACAGTATTGGTAGCTATATGCGCGGTATATGTATTGCTCTCTGTTATTAACCATAGCTAACTATATTATTTTTTACTGACTACATATTATCCAGATAGAGTCAATGATTTCTACTTTGACACGTTACTCGCTTATGATTTTTTCCTTCATGTGAAGCTCAGTGCAGAATTATGAATTAACCTCATTTTACAAAACCTGGTACATCGGAAAGCGGGGGAGTCAGCTGTCCCTCTCGAAATGCTCTCACATGGCTACGCGTATACAGTCACTGCCAGGGAAGTCCTACTTACTGCCTTCTAGTGGCGGGGGTGTTATTTACGAAATTGAGAGGACGAAAAGCGAGTGTTGGGCGCTCTAACCGGGTTGATGGACACAGAGGGTCCACCTACGGAAGCCTGAAAACCCTGATTCCAAACCAATGGTTCACATGGGCCCCAGGATCCTGAAGGAACAAATAGCGTATGAACCTATTGTTGGTCACCGGCTACCATGGGACTGCATCTCCTTACGATGCTCCACTGCCCTATGGACCAGACCTTTAGGTCGAAGGCTCGGGGTGTGACCCCGAAACAAACCAGGTGCTTCGGTCTGGGCACCGGGGTAGTATCACAGTCCACACACAAATCAAGTGACTTGTTTGGCGCATATGTATTCGGTCCCCCTTTGTACCAATGTTTATGTACTTAAATAAATAAATAAAGTAGGAAGTAGGCATCTTCACTCATACAATTGAGCATTTCCGTAATGCTTATAGCGTTTGTCTACTAGTTAAAGTACTCGGATTTCGACATCCGCGGCTTATGCGTAAGTAGATTTGTGCAGCTTGGTAAAATAAATAATCCTCACACAAATAATGCGGCTTAAATTGAAGTACATAAAAGTGTGTTTGGTAAATAAGTTACATTTAAACTAAATTGTTAACTTACAGCCTTCTATCTAAATAGGCTTACTAGTCATTATTATTGGTTCTTTACGTGGATGTTTGTGGCCAAACTAGTGCTTACCGTAGATTGTTATTTTAAATAAGTCAAATCACGTAGTGTTTGCTAGTTCAATTTTGTCGTATATTGTAGTAACCGGAATCGGAAATTGGAAACTTTATCTTACTTGAAGTACAAAGACGGCACAGTCCTGTCAAGCAAAGGTTTTAATCAAAGCCCGAATCCTTTGAGTACTTTAAGTAACTGTAGGAAGTATTTAAGAAGTGTTTTTCGTTAAATACAAAGTGTTGCTTCAGGATTGAGATACATCATCTCATATTTTATTAATAGGTAACGAATTATTTGGAGTCACCATTCCTGATGGAATTTTGACGTGGGGGCTAAGGGCTTTTTTGGCAACTATCAGCTCGGATCATTTGTGTCGCCGTTGAGTTGCTAACGGTAGCTTAGTGATTAAAACACCCAGATTGCAACTGATAGTTATTGGGTTCAAATCGTGCTCTATTTATTCCGGTTTTTTCTCTCGGACAATATCGATAGCCTACTCACGTGAGAAAATATATTTGACTAAAAGCTGGGTACGTAAACTGCAGTGGATAAATGAGTTAGATTACTATTGTAATTGAGGTATCTGGATGTTTATCAGAGTGTAGAGAGGTACAGGCTTTCTGGTTTGGATAATCAATGTTTTAAGATTGGTAAGCACATCTCATGACCGATCCTTGTGTCACAATTGAGCCCTTTTTGTATTTCTGTTTGAATGTTATGCTGCTGTTGGTATAACTATTTTAACATTTTTGTTTTTCCTCTTGTTGCTTTCTAACTTTATTAATGTGTGGTTTGCTAATTCAGGACAAACCAAATTGTTCTAGACCTTAAAGTACTTATATTTACCCGAATTTTTTTAACCGAGTAATAATATATATGTCTTCTAAAGTTGTTAGCTTTTTCTTGTCATAATTCCATAATTTATTTGCATTTTGATGAGTAGCTACACATCTATCCTATAAAATGCCACTTACAAACAAGTGTTTGACTTTTTTCATCATTATAAAGAAATTAATATATCTGTAATGTCTCATTGCGTAGCAAAATTAGATTTTCTGACGTTTCGTGACTCAGTGTAAGCCACTTCTTCGGAGAATAAGTAATCAAATTGAAATTTTCATCATTGTTTATACTACATTTTTTCATAATAAAATTTCTACATTTATTTGTACTTTTGAGCTATTTTCCCATTATCTATTACATGGATTTTAAATTCTTTACACCAGAAAGTAAAACTTACCAGTCAATACTGTTATAACAGAAACTATGGCTTCGAGTGAAGACAACGGTTACATACTCCAGAATGAAGTAGTATGCATTGAAATGAAAGCGGTTGAACCTGTTTTGTGCAAACCAAGACTCCTACCATTGAAATCTGTTAAACTCTCTGGCTGTGAAGTTGAAGATGAAATAAAACGTGCGGGAAATCTAGGATTTCATAGTCATAAGACCAATTAATTCTTAAAACTCATCTGTTTTTCATGTACAACTTATGTTCACTTACTTCAGCATATTATAAAGTAGATTATGGCAGAAGTACAGATATACATTCTTTTGTATTCGATCCTTTAGTCAGGAACAAGTCGTTTGACTATAAAACCATCAATTTAACAATATTTGTACTGGATCAGTTTGAGTTGACTTTATTTAGGATTTGAGCTTAATCAAGTTTAAACTGACCAAATTATCACTAAAGAAAATTTCATTTTCACTTCCATTGTAATCGGGTGTAGGTGTAGACTGGAAGAAATGTGCGGTCAAACCAAAACATGCAATCAGTCCGTGCATTCACTGACAATTGGACTTAGCTATGTTAATATATGTTAACTATCTGGTTGGGGTCTGCGTGATAATCATAACCAATGGTTAGAAACGTCGAGTGACATGGCTGAAAACTGCTTGCGGTGGCTCAGATGCATCCATTCTTTGTTCCTATTTAACTAATTTATATTTTCACGAATCGTATCTTCGATGCTAAATTTCCCCTAATACCACTGATGTTGTTACTACTTCTGCTACTCTGGGATTTGCGCTAACAGTTTCATCTCATTGTGCTAATGGGGTATAACAACTGGAACTGATGTACGTAAGTACCAGGTTCTACTTTATGACTGACTAACCTGGCTGTAATCTTAGTGGTGCATGGAACATTTTGTTGAAAGAACTACAGTTATGAAATCAGCTTAGGATTCCATACTATCTAATCATTAATGTTTTGTAGTAGATAGAAAATAACAATATTTAGCTCATTTCTGTTTATTAGAACCCACTAAGTAATATGGATTCAACATACTATCCATTAAGTAATTAAAGTTCACTATTTCTTTTCAACATCAGAGTGCGTATTCGAGTGGTTTTTTGATTGGAAGGCTGTGGTCATCAATCGTCTGGTAAACTGGACTGCTTAATGCTCTAAACATAGTATGCTCTGAATCCGTGTTACATTTTTATTTACACCCTTAACTAACTATACCAGAAGGATTTTATTGTTCAATAAACTCAACTTAGTGTGAAACTAATTAATCAAGAGATTTTGTCATCGAGATGTATCAGTAGTCAATCAGTAACAACGTAGAACTTCGTACCTACGTACATCAGTTCGAGTTGCCATACCACATTGCCACACAGATACAGTTGTCGATTCAAATCACATAGTGTTAGAGGTAGTAAGAGTATAAGCAGTAATCTAAAAGACTAGGGTTTGAAGATGGTATTCAAGGAGTATAATCCAGTGAAATAAATTTGGTAAGAGAAAAAAAGGGACATGAAGAATTCAGAAGATTAGGGTTTGGGAGAACATAAAGAGTGGGTGCACCTGCGCCATTGCAAACGAAGAGGGATATACCGTAAAAGAACACCATTCTACTAAAGTCTCTTGTTTTAAACACTTCTGGCCGCGTCAGAATTTGCATTCATCCGTCACTTAGCCTGCTACATCATGTGTTCGTTAGCGTTTTCCACTCGTTAGTCAGTTTTGCCGTTTATATACTTCTAATCTTGCGTTTACTCTATTTTAATATAATCCCCTACTAAACTTCGGCGAACCCCATTGCTCAACGGTAGTGTAAGAAGTCCGAAACGAAATGTGTTAGAAAAATTTTACGTCATTCTTATAATTTAGTTGACGGACAATGTGAATGAATAGATCGATTACTACTAGCAAAAGACGGTAAGCCTGAGTCAGGATATATATGTAAAGATTGTAGTGTCAGTGATTATTTTAAGCCCATGTATCTTATTCTAGCTTTCGGACATTCCATTCTATTCATTCTACTTGAGTCATATGTTGACCTTGTTAATTATCCGCTTGTCAGTCTTGATTGTTTTTATATGAGCGTATATGTGTGTGCCCTTCTTATCCCATTAATCACATGTCTGTAGCTTTATTTTGTCTGACTTTAAATATTGAGTAACGCTTGACTAAAATGGAGTTGGCTTCCCAGCCATCTTTCCTGCGTGTCATTTTGCTTTGCTCTGTTTCATTCGCTTCATGTACAAAATATATGTATTCACAAATCAATTCTCGTTATTCGACTTATTTAATTCCGTTATTGACTAACGCGATTCAAGTCGACGATGATATACGAGAATAGGCGATAGCAAACATTTATACGATCTAAATAGGAGTCAGATCCACGGGCTACTAAAATGTCGAACCCTTCAACGAATATCGTCGATCTAAATGAGGACAAAATCAAACTACGGGCCTCCACAAGATAGCCAATGTATATAATACGGATAACCAATTAGACTATAGACGAAGATAAACAACTGAATGATGTACTGGTATGAATACACAGTTATACGGAAAGTACACTAGAATCAAGTAAATAATCATACTTATAAGATATGTACATGAAAAAGGTATCCGAGTAAAGGTTAATAATTAATACCATTAGTGCACATAAAATAGTTAGGGATATACTCGCTCACCTGTCACGTTACGTGTAGTTATTTTCTAACACTTCACATAAGAGTCAATTTAAGTGGGCTTTATGAAGAATCACTTTGGCTTTCTGGAGTTAGTCTTCTACCTAGATACTTACTAATCTCATGTACACATGACATAATTATTTTCTCTGTTAGTGATAAAATTAAGTTCACTGAACTTCTTTAGAAAACGGAGTAAGGATGGTTGGAATGTGATTCTCCTTCTGTAGACGTCAAATATTACTTCGGGGTGGACTCCTGGTTTTACTTTGTAGAGTCAAGTAGTTGGGCTCGTCAACTACTTTGCTTTTTTCTCAAGTCACTCATCCTTAATGAGTTGATAGCTTCAGAGGTCTTAATACGGATGTAAAACGGTTACTTGCTTCTAGCTTATCTGTGGTACTTATAAGTTCTCATTAAATGCTGTGACTTGCTCTAATCAGTCTGTAGTTCCCTTAGGTATTTTCATTTGGTGCGATTCTTGAATCAAAAACTCCCTACTTGTATCATCCACAATCATTTACGATTTCGTGTAAATCAGACAACAGACTGACTCATTGAAGACTTTAAGGGATGTCTGACAGATTAAGCCATTTACCAGAAACTCATCGGGAATTATCCTTTTCCGTAATATGAATCTTGTTAATTAACCACGAATTCTCCGTAGAATATCATTCTCACTGGCTAGGGTATTTTTGTCTATTCATTCTGCCGTATATTGGTCACATAGATTCAGTTTTTCAAGATGTTACATTGATTGTTTTGATAAAATCACCCTCCAAAATTCACAGGATAACTAAGGTAACGTTTTGTGAACATTCATTGTCAACGACAAAACATTTAGTCAACAGTTGATGTATTGATTTGGAAGATAAACTCAGTGGCTTCGTCTGAAGACGGTATATTATTTAAATTAACAACAATTATTTGACGTCTCAACTTTTAATTTAAAATGAAAACGAATTTGTCCTTGAAGGGTACCTTGTTGTGATTAAAGCTTTCAGTAGCTAGTGATCCTCTCCACTATTAAGATATTTCAGTGTATTCTATAATATTACATAGGATCCCTGATAAGATCTTACTGTAAGCACATATGATTTCCATGCTGTGTAGTATTTGTTTGCATCTATTCTAAATTGGTCTTGCTTATTTAACATATAAAGATGAGGGATTGTGTAGATCGTAATTGACATATAATGGTTACGATGAGGCAATTATCTCTAAATATGTTTCTTAGTCAATAGTGTTTTCATTCTAAACTTCTCACCATTGACAATCAATCTCACTGAAAAACAATTTGTAGATCCTGAACCTTATATTTAACAAAATATTAGCGTGATTAAAAGTCAATCCAATATACTATCTAAGCTTGGTGTGAAAAATGATTTTATTTGACCTTACTGTAACCCATGTAGCCTTTGAAATCTTGATGAACAAAATTCACTTAATACATGAGCAATTATTTTAATGTCATCATAAAACTTGGAATTTTACTTAATATATGAAGTAAGATTGTTTTTTTGCAGTATTCCTTTTATGAACATTAGGACTGAACCAAGCATTGCGTCAGTGGTACCAGACCATGTTCACAGTTGCGTTTCTTCCCACATGGTTCACTGTTTTAAACTTCTAAAAACAAAATGACTCAATAAATGAAAGGGGTAGAATCTGTCGGAATATGGGATCCTCTTGCTTTTTATTTTAGAAGAAAATAAGCTTTACAGATGCGAGCAGTTACTCCAAAACGTTATTTGTCTAATCACCACTTACTGAAGACATGTTATCTTTGTAGTTAGGTTTTTTACTTTCCGAACAGGGGATTGTGAGAAATACCTAATTCGTCTTTTTGTCGTGGGCATTTGCAAAGACATGATTTTATAAGCCTCTTCTTTATTTTCCAATTGGTCAGATTCGAACTGTTATACTGATGTTGAGAATATAAATATGTTCAATCCAGCCCTGATTTTGAGGAGTAATATTCCTACCATTCATTACAACCTTGAACTCGTATCTGAGATTAAACATTGAAGTATTCTAACAAATCTAACTTCACTATGAATCTGCTTTTATAATTTTCTCAGCAGTTGTCATTATTATATCGTAATCTTGTGTTTATTAGTGTTCAAGATTTTCATTTCTTCGTTTCACACAATCAGAGATCCATTAACAACATTGTCAGAGGTATTTTTCAAAATCATACCGTACTTTCACATTACTGATAACCAACTAACTTATTCTTAACGAACCAATCAAGCTAGTACATAGTTATCACTTCAGTTCTTTAAAATTACATTTTTTGCCTGTTTTTTATATCAAGTTGTAGTTAGTCAATTATCGCAATTTATTTTTAGTAAGAAGTATAAAATTAGTTTAGGTACATTATTTCATTAAATTTGCCCTCTTCCTACATTACTTGATAGGGTCTCACATAAATAAAGCATCTTATTGTAATCTAACACAGCTACAATTGTACAAAATAGTTAAAACAGATACTATAATTCCTATATTGTTATCTTTAGTCATACTGAGTAGGGAAGAATTATGTTACCTTACATTGATGAATATGTAAACAATAGTAGATGTATTCTTGCATTTGTTAGATAAAATAATATATACAGGGGGAGAACTTTTTATAACCCATGTTAGTGTGATACATGTAGTAATGATACTCTGTAGAACTAGATTTAAAGGAGATTAAGATTCATATTTACCACATAAACACGACTAGATAGGTGTTTTCGAAATAAAAGCAAATATTGACAGGGATTATGTGTAATGTTATGTTTAAGGCACAAAAAAGAAAAACGACAGTTCAATTATTGTTCTACATCAACATGATGTAAAATAACAAATACTATGTATAATAATAAATATGCAAAAGGACAATATTCGTCGCCATACAATTAAACATTTGTTGTATGATCATTAATTAAATAGGCTATTTCATGAATAGATGTGTTAACTCCATAAGTTATAGGTGAATGTGATAGATTCTCCATCTTTGGCACCATATGTTCTGAATGATCTGTTGTAATGATTGATGATGATTGTTGGTCAGGTGAAAGTGGTGGATTGTTAACACTACGAGATGAATGTGAATTTACAGGAGTACGTGAATTACTGTTATTGTTATTATCCACAGAACTATGTCCACTGATAATCGAATTCCCACCTGAACACAAACCGTGTGATGATGTATGTGTAGGTATACCATTGGTTAAATCCAATGTTGTAATTTGTGGAAGATTTGCTAGTAAATGATTATTAGTTGAAAAAAGGCAACTGTTATTTCCTATTAGATTGTTGTTACTTCCACATGATTGTAAATTAATAGATTCCGGTATGAAATCAGGTGGGGGAGTTTGAATTAATCCAGAGGTTGGCAATAAATTAGAACAATTAGTTAAAAAAGGTGAATGATCCGATGATAACATTCGATGGTTTAAACTTGAAATGTGAGTACTTCCGTTACATATGGGTTGTAAAAATTGACAAGATGGTAAACTTGAACAGTATGTAGCGGAAATACCTACAGGAACAGAACTAACAGTAAAAAAAACATAATAGTTCCAGTTATGTTGTAAGCTTTTATGCAAATTAGTAACTTTCGACAATTTATTGGGGTCTATGTGTTTATTGCATCCATTAGTTAGAGACTGTGTGATATGGCTCAAAATCTGCCACAATGATGTATGTACATTCATTCTTCGTCTTCTCTTAGATTCCAAGTTTCTAAATCACATTAAAGTTCTCTTATTATTTCACTGATTTGTGTTTTCTCGAATCGAGGCTTCGCTGTCTAGTCTTTTCCATCATCACCAGTACTGGTACTACCTCTGTTACTACGGGGTTTGCTCTGACCGTTTTATTTCACACTGCTAATGGAGCATAGCAACTTGAACTGATGTACACATTACCGGTTTCTACGCTTAATATGACTGATTAATTCGACAAATCATATTTGGATTTTCCTTAATAGTCAGAATCCAAATTAAGCGTTACGAAAATGGTCAACGACTTCAACAAATGGTAATTATTTTCACAGGAAGAGGTAAGTTGTATGTGCTCACGATCATATGTTTCGGAATGGACTTAGAATCATTTAATAACTCTACCGAACAATACTAAATCGAACCTGCAGATTTCCAATAAAGTGATCAAATCAACTTATGTTTCTTCTATGCTCTAATCTTCATCAAAATCTTTGTACATTTACATTATAAATGACCTAACTGAATGAGATTTATGACACAGAATTCTTTTGTGTTGTAGCTTTTCTTGTAATACTGCTGTTAATATATTTTAGTGCCCGTGGTTAACTCTGTAGTGATTGGACTATAATAGTTTCGTAAATACTCTATCGAAAAATCTCGTCAATAACAACGTAAGTATAGAAAGTGGGATACGAAATTATTTGAGGAACGTATATTTCAGACATTTGATAACCCAGATGAAATATATATGAACCGGAATAGGAGAAATAGCCAACCTAGTGAGTAATAGGTGGTTCAATCTCGAAACATGAAAGTGATAAAAGTATATAAACATATGTCCTGCCATACATATTTCCTCAAAGTCACATAACTAAATGATAGAATGACTAGAAAGATTAGAATAAACGTTAGAAGAAATCACATAGGAGTTTATCAACACCAGTTGTTACACTATCGTTGACACTGTTGAGTGAAGCTAACATCTTTAATGGGTATTCTACGCTTGATTAGTTTCCAAAAGAGAGTTAACTTACGTATTAGCACATATATCTTCTTTAGATGTTTCATAAAAACAGTTTTCTGATTGATCCTTGGGTATACGCATAGATCCCTGAAACAAATCAAAAATGCATATTGATAGCGTTTGATTTCAATAAATTAAAATGTCTAGATTATTTTGCAATATTTCATGTAGATATATTTGGTAAAATTATGAGATATTTTAGTAAAGAATAAAAGCATTGTAATGCAGTTTATTATGTTAATTCATTAAACATGTGAACTGAACGAATTCATTGATTAGTTATTGTGTAATCAGAAAAAAAATCAGTGACTGTTAGACTGCACTGCATGAAAAAGTGTAGGATTTTTTTATCACGATTCATGAGGTAGTCGTATTGTTATTTAAAAAACTTATTTTATTCCTGAAGATGTATTCATACATTATTTCCCTTTGAATGTTGACTTTTAAGACTAGTTTTTGTAGTTTTTATTTCCTGATACCCTTCATTATTTCCAAACTATATGGTCTGTGTTTAGTGTTTACGGTTGTTAACACAATTACTTCTATTTATTCACCTTTAGTGTGGAGTTGATTTTTACTTCCTGTGTTAATGTGGAGTGTGGAACTTGGAGGGACACTTTTATTTAGGCGAAATCCTACGCTTTTTTAAGGGATTTTCGTTTTCATGCACGTTTTTGCATCAATTCGATTGTAAAATCAGTAGTGTAGTTGTGGTATTTATATGAATAGATGAGATATTTGCACCTGATTGAGCGAATTTCGAATATAATACGTTCAGTTGTGCTCACTTAGTTCTACCTCTCTTAAGTTGAATTGTTTTACTGGAATTCTTAGTTAGCACATCATCCAGAATACTTCAAAATATAATCGTACTATAAAGATATTTTTTCATTTATTGACTGTAAATCGACGTTTAAGTACTTCATAAACCAGTATACAATAAATTAGTCAGTCCTAACAACTTATACAGAAATATTTATAGATTTTCATGGAAATCACACAACTTGTTGTCGTCAGAAAGGTTATGACAGTAAGTGAAATGAGTCAGTACACAAGTAACTCAATATTTATTTGATAAAAGTATTTTCAAGTAAAACTTGAACAATATAATTATTTTCCATAATTCATTGGTTGAGTGTATATAAATTAGTAACTAGTGATTAACAAAATTTATCTAACAGTTTGTTTAGGTAATATTTAAGGCATGTAAATCTACCTCCGAAAGATATCGAGTTACTTGACTTGGAAGTATTTTCGTCGTGAAAAGTTTGGCTTTTACCTCTTACAAAGTAGATCATTTTTGTGACTAATAATTTATTCTAGTGAGTGTCAAGAGAATTTTCTTCACTATGAAACTGTAAAATACGATTGTTGAAAATGAAAATGCGTTTATGTAAACATTTGTTCTAGACATATCTTACCTATACTCTTAAAGCAGCTCAAGGGTTTAATAGAACCACTGAATATTTGCAGGTAACGTAACGTGTGAAACGCTATAGAAAGCAGTTTAGCTTATAGATTTATTTTTAAACAATATTCACCGAGATAGTTGTTGATTTTATTCATCTTGATGATGCGTCTGATAATATAGGAAAGTTGTCTTTAAAATCTAGGACACTTTTGCCTGTTAGTCTGAGTGAGAAAGCACCTATAAGCATTTCAGTCAGGATTCACAAGACAATTAACACTAGTGATTAGAGATTTCAACTGACAGAGCTTTCAGTTCTAAACAATGTGCCCCGCCCTTTCGTTTGCCTGTTTCTTTGAATGTTACTATTTACTGCTTTTGTATGAATATTTCCATTTTTTTGGTTTTTCATTTATTGATATGAAGTATAGTAAGTTCGAATCATGTACATCATAATGACAGTAACCCATGGTGTTATTGAAAAATAATTAGAACAACTCAGCGAACAAAATTTTCTTTTCGACACTATCATTTACTCAAGCTGTACAATCGTAATTATGGTTCATTCACAAATAAAATAGTCTTTTGAAAGATAGAAGGATTATTACATAGGCCGCAAAAAGTGCTCTACAAACATCTCCGAACGTCATTCCGCGTGGCATTCGAAAGGTGAATGTAAATCAATCAACAGTTCGATATTAAATCATCTTCTGGTCACATAGTCCCACCTTACAAGTCTTTTAAAATCATCTGTAAGGTCAGACAATTTGGTTGAAAAGGAGCGTGAATTGATAACTTATGAACTGCATAGGCGTTAGCAATGCACACGCAACAACAAATGCAGGAGAAGACGACCAGAGTAGCAGCAGCCTCAGCAGCAGTAGGTCTCAATATACACAAAGGGAAAAGCAAGATTCTCCGATACAACACAGCATGCACCAGTCCAGTCACAATTGACGGAGAAGATTTGGAAGATGTAAAAACCTTTACATATTTGGGCAGCATCATTGATGAACACGGTGGATCTGATGCGGATGTAAAGGCGCCGATCGGTAAAGCAAGAGAAGCATATTTACAACTGAAGAATATCTGAAACTCAAAATAACTGTCAACCAACACCAAGGTCTGAATTTCCAATACAAATGTGAAGACAGTTCTACTGTATGGGGCGGGAACTTGGAGAACTACGAAAGCCATCATCCAGAAGGTACAGGTGTTTATTAACAGCTGTTTACGCAAAATACTTCGAATCCGTTGGTCAGACACTATTAGCAACAACGTATTGTGGAAGTGAACAAACCAGATCCCAGCGGAGGAAGAAATCAGGAAGAAGCGCTGGAAGTGGATAGGACATACATTGAGGAAATTACCCAACTGCGTCACAAGGCAAGCCCTTACATGAGATCCTCAAGGTCAAACGAAAAGAGGATAACCAAAGAACACGTTACGCCGAGAAATGGAGACAGACGTGAGAAGAATGAATAACAATTGGATTGAACTAGAAAGGAAGGCTCAGGATAGAATGGGTCGAAGAATACTGGTCGGTGGCCTATGCTCCATTGGGAGTGACAGGCATAAGTAAGTAAGTAAGACGTTAGCAATCCATCTTTTCAAATAAACCTGAACTCTGTGTGCTAAAGAGACACGTGAAAGCCATCATTCTTCGTTGGCCCTAATACTTAATTGTCATAAACGGTAATTTGATTTTATTACATCCTTCAAAGTTTCTTAATTTTAATTATTAGTTTCTATGATCTCCACGCTTCGAGTTTATTCTTCACCCTTCTCACACAATAGTCAAGTGGAAAATTATCCTTCTCACGTTTGATTTCATTTTATTATCTCTCTTTAGTTCTCGATTATTAAGCAATTTTCTTTGACACATGATATGATGTGATAATCCTCCTATCTTTCAAAAGACTATTTCATTTGTAAATTAAATACAAATACGATTGTACAGCTTGAGTAAATGATAGTGTCGAAAATAAAATCTTGTTTGCTGAATTGTCTTAATTTACATTTGATTCAGGTTTTAAACTGTTTTTTTATTTATTCAATTGGTAAATTAGCTGTACTACAGTTTAGCCTAGAAGTCAAAAGCTCATTGGATACGTTTTTGATTTTAACTGACATAGGTTAGGAAAAACGTAACATGCCATCTTCCCTAAAGTCAGATAGATAAAGTTTATGTGAGCATTAAGATGTATAATACACGTCCTACTTCCAAACACATGTATTCAACTAGCTAACAGTTCTAGAAATAAAATAGGAAGAGGTATTTTTAATAGCATAGCTTACTTGATCTGTACCATCAAAAGCATAACGAGCAAATGATTTATTTAAGCTTGGATTATTTGAATAACACTGATATGGATCTTGACGATAATGCATATTCGGCGTATAAGCACGTGTTATAAAATCTGAATTCACTACACCATAATCTTGTAAAGAACTCCTTGATGGCTGTTTAGTGCGATTACCTAAATAAAATAAAAATAACAATAAATTGTAGTAACAATAATACAAGAAGCAAGATTTATGTTGATTTCCATATTTTTCAATGAACTGGTTAATATAACTGACAGTGCAATGAATATCATATTTTCAAATCACTAGCAACATGTGGAGGAACAGTTTAGTGAATAATCCTGTGGTGTGTGCTACTTATATTGACATAAGTAGTATATGATGTTAGTCGTGAACAGAAGGTCTGGCAACAGAGAGACAAGAGGATCGAACAGTAAAGAATCGAAACAAAATGAACTTTGTATGAAAATGCAAGAACAATGAAGTCTGAGTCATTTTGGGACAATCGAGGGACATTTTGCAAATTAAGAATTTATTTAATGATTGCTAGATTTTATTAACAAGTCCTGTAATTTTGTGTTAAATACATTCAATTGTCCCCACCCGTGTTCTTGTTCACTACAATCCAAGTGTTAGGCGTATATTAATAGGTAAAAGTCGGTTAATGTGGTCGTGAAGGTTCTATGGTTGGGGAAATGTGGATATGTGTTAGGTAGGCTTATTCACCACCTACTTCAGTTTAGTGCACTGATAAACAGGAAGTTAAAGGCTTCTCAGTTGACGTCACTGTGATAATCGTAATTTATAGTTAGAGACTTTAGGTGATATGTATAAAAAATGCTTACAATAGTACAGATGCATTATTTTATTTTTCTCCCATTAAATTCTGAACAGAGTATGATTATTTGACTGAACATATATGTGTACCACGTTGTATCTTGTTAACATTTCCCTATCATTTACCGAATGACAAAACATTTTTGTAAATTTTAAATCCAACGTTGGTTTAAATAATTCCAAGGGAAACATGAGATTTACTGAGTGTTAAATTTCTTTGATTTTTTGTTTTAAAAAAACCCCATTATAATAATCACTAAAATCATATAATGAAGATACAACTAGTTTAAAATGAACATTCAAAATGTTAGTTTTATCATGAGTATTTAAAAAATATATATCATAAGTAAAAAATATATCCCCAAATAATCTTAAGGTGAATTACCATTACATGTGTTTTCCCACAATATCCATAAATTTTCATGTAAGTTTACTAACAGAAAGAAAAATGTTGGTTATATGTGAATTTTACAACTTCAATTTTGTAGTATACTCGACCTAAATGTACTGAAGATGTACATATATATCTTCCTCTCCCCATATATATATATATATCATCATATAATAATTGGTATTTATAGTTGTAAATTGAGGTAATTAGGTAGAAATTGTAAAATCATATTTATCTAGTTTTCATTATAGTATAGAATGTATATAAGAACATGATATAATTCTTTCATAAGTACTATACTAATAATTCATTTACTCTAGTAATGATATAATAAGAATGACATGTTTAATATACAAACGCCCTGGTATGGCCGAGAGCAGGGTGGGTTCGCCCTTCCTCTCGAAATACTCTCACACGGCCGCGCGTATACAGCCTCTGCCAGGGAAGTCCTACACACTGCCTTCTCGTGGCGGGGGTGTTGTTTACAAAAATGAGAGGACGAAAAGCGAATGTCCGGCTCTTTAACCGGATTCCAAATCTATGGTGCACATGGGCACCAGTATCCTGCGGGAACAAATGGCGTATGAACCAATCGTTGGTCACCGGCTACCATGGGACTGCATCTCCTCACGATGCTCCACTGCCTTGTGGGTTAGACCTTTAGGTCAAAGGCTCGGGGTGTGGCCCCCTAAGATAACCACCTGCTTCGGTCTGGTCACCCGGGCAGTATCGCAGCCCACACGCAATTAATGAACTGAAATTGTGTGGCGCATATATATTTGGCGCACTCCTGTACCAATATATATGTGTTCAAATAATAAAAAAAAATTTATGTACATGTACAGATTGTTTATATGAATATATGGGAGATTAGTTAAATTATAAAAAAATCTATATTCTTTCTTTAAAGGACTAACTTTGTATTCAAATTAGTTTATTTGAAACAGTACAAAAGAAACAAACCAACATAAAACTAATCTAACATTTAATTAGTATTAGACTGTTATGATACTTTCTTTTAACTTTATTTATCCATTATTCATTTGCCAAAACATTCAAAATCATATATTGAAAAGAATCAAATAATAATAATAATTCTATTTGTGATACTTTCAAGTTTTATATTAAGATTTTAAATGAGATATTATATTGATATGCTGTTGTTAAGTGAATTAAACATTATTTCAATGTTCTCTCTATCAGGTAGTAGTGAAAACTATCATCCAGATTAGTGTTATATTTAATTTGTTTAAAATATGTTGTTTATTTAAATAGTTTCCTGTTTGTTTTGTATCATAATTACTTCAAGCTAGAACTTTTGAAAAGGATCCCTTTCGTATTGTATTAACTAACACTTTTTACATGTCATATATATATATATATATAATAGACTTTTTACTAAGTATATCAGTGATGGGACTCCAGTTTAAGTAGAATAGATTAAAACATGACTAAATAATCATCTTACCCAATAAGCTACACGAAATAAAATGACTAAAAATAAATAAAAACTTAAGTTATTTCTATTGTATCCTGATCTGTCTAATATGATTCGACTGATTCATTGAAATATAATAGATAAGAATATGAATATGAAAGAGTCAGTGACAAGGTTGGTCTAAATATGCCCAAATGATGTGATCAGAAGTAAAAAAAAATCTTTAATGTCAAATTTGAGTAAAATACTATCAGTGACTTTTGGAATCACTTGCCTTTACGGACTCATCAAGAATAAACCGATCAGTATATTTAGATTTATCTTGAACCACCCATACAGTCTTTTAGAAGCTGTCTTTTTGAACTACGGAATTTTTTATTTATAGTATTTAGATAGATAGGAAATCGTAGATTATAAGACAAAAATATTTGTTTCGTAATTTTCTTATATTTATGTAATTATTGTTTTCTGGGTTTTTCTTGTCATGGTTGACATTACTTACACAATATGTTGTGAGGCTTGCTCGAATACTTCAAATAACAGCTACTTAATTGTGCATGTTTAGAGTCCTTATGTATAAGAATAGTTAAACACAAAATGTTTATGCATTATACCGCTTTATTCATATTTTGATATCAGCGTATATATAGGGAGAGAGAGATCAAGAAAGGAAGAGAGATTTTGCAAAGACCCATAACTTAAACTAAGGTGAAGTTAATTAATCAACGAAAATTTCATTGATTTGCAGCAAAATAATAATCATAACATTATTTGACAATTCAATTCCTTTTGTTTATATGCTTACCTTTATTATAACGAAATTCACATACTCTTTGACGGCATATACACAGAAGTATTAATCCTACTATTAACAGAATTCCGACAGTGACCGCTGCACCGATAATAAACTGAATTGGGATATCTTCTGTAAACAAGAAATATATATACAAAGTATATTTTAGTGATAAAAATTTCTCAATAAAATGGCATTAGGTTTATATATACATATGAAATAACTAACCTTGATGACTGAGACGTATTAATTTCCAATCTGATCCATAGCCGTTCTTCACAGAACAATTATATTGACCGAAATCACTCATCATCACATGTGCAATATGAAGAACAAGTACCACACCACCGATAAATTCTTCTTGTTCAAATTTATGACTAGTTAAGTAAATATCAAAAGGTAGTGAAGAAAATGAAGATTATTAACATGATTGATAAAGCAAACGGTTTAAAAAGTGGGATGATAAATCAAAGTTTATCACAACCATATGCTATTATTAGCGTAATACATTTCGAGTGACCTGATAATGCATTATCTTGTAGATCGGTTTATGTATGTTAAAAAGTGACCAAGTAGGGTTATGTAAGATATAAGATTCTGAGAAAAATTAATATAAATCTTAAGACACTGGATAGTTAGCCAATATTCTCAAAGTAAGTTTGGTTTAAGTACAAACTCCTTTAAACATTCTGAGAGGAGAAAGGTAACATTTCCTAATGGTTTGGCTTAAAAATACCTAAGCATCTATCCTAGAAAACTTTCATGGCAAATCGCAAAGTTAACATTACTCTTATGATCTGTTTTATTTGAGTTTGTCAATAGAAGAGTCAGTCTTACGTAGAATTCATGATCGCCATTCTTTAAATACATATATATCCATATGCGTATGGCAGAGGTCTCAAGATGTGACATTATTTACACGCTGTTTCCACTTTCAATAGAGAAAGAATATTGTATTGTTCTATTAGATCATATTGTACTCATAAATGTCGTCTTTTCATAGGAATACCTGTTCCAAAGTAAAAAGCCTTGTCAATAAACCGAAATTTATTGAAAAAACAGTTTATCAATTAAACTTGATTCTCAGTTTTTTTTGTTGAGTCGATCTGACAGTATATAGTTAGAATTAAATTGAAACAAATTTTTAAAATATACACAGGATACAATATAGTTTTATAAGTTTAAGTTAACATTAGTATACAAACATAAATGTGTATCGATGATCAGTGTATGTCATTGCTGGAATGAATGACAGAAGGCAACGTTTTATATTATTCTACACTACTGACTAGTAAGGTAACAGCGTTAGAACTGTTTGAAAATTTTTGGCACGATTTTAAGACATTTGATAATGCTTACCATATTTTAAGATGTAAACCCACAGTAAGTTTGTTCTAACATCGATTTTTCCAATTTTTAGACTAACTAGCTAGAGCGGGGCTATTTGAAAGACTCCTGTTTTGGGGATTAGCTTTTTTTAATATAATGTGGAATTAAATCCAAACAGGAAAAACAGCCATCTAGTTTATAAATCTGCTTTGCATAGACTTCAACTCCCTTTTATAAATGTAAGCCGTTAGTAAATACTACTCTCAGTTGAGAAAAACTGTCTTGATACTTGGTAACAAAGGCAAATTACTGTTTATTTGGTTCGGTCGGGACAGTTTGTGAGATGTAGAGTTTCGTTGTGGCATTTCTTTTATTAATCATATTATATCGAGATTTGTTACTGGATGGATTATTGAAAGCTTATTTTAGATAGTTAGAATTGACTACTTATAAGTAGCCTGACATTTTAACTTAAGGATCATTTGAAGTCTTTTGCGTAGGAGCTCGTGTAAAATATATTTATTTTATCCATTTATCAGTAAAACCTTAGTCATTGAAGTTCATCCTCTGTACAATATCAAAGTGTGCATAGAATTTCATGCCATCGGTTGAGATTCTTTGAACATAATAAATTTTCGACTCAAGATATAAGTTAAATACGGCATTTTCATGTCTGAATTATCGGGTTTTTTCATGGATGTTGTTTTTCACATTACTTCCCTGATTATCTTTGTTCCATCTTACCCTCGAAATTTCTAGTTGACCTTTTACCTTTGTATAGAAATATTCTTAACGACTATATGTGTGATCAGATTGTTCGTAATGTATTGCGCCAATATATCACATAGTTCTGATAATCCTCAACATACTACACTATCTGAATTCACCGATGCACATTTCAGGCATACCATACTATTTAACCCGAAACAGCTTGACATATCAAGTAGGCATTATCAACATTATCGTAGTGTTGATAATGGTCTCAAACTTTTAAAAAAAATAAGCTAGTATAAGCAAAACGTTTGATTTCACTTTTATGAACACGGTCACTTTAATAGAATAACACAGGCAAATTATTAGATTTTTCCATTGCAAAAATTTATTAACATTTCATTTAAGGGAATGAAAATTTAGCTTAATGGAAATAAGGGGGTATAGATAACATTTATTATTTGATTTAGTTTTTGTATAGCTCTTATCTGTAAACATATTAGATACTGTTAGATCTTTAAAATTTGATTGAACTCAGTTTAATTACACCTGGAATATTGGTATCCCAATGATTATATATATATGTATATAAACTTACTGTGAATCTGGCTGAATTGGATTACCATTGAAATACCAATGCGTTTGACCAGAAGGTGGAAGTGGCACTGAATTCACTGTACAACGTAATCTGGCTGGTTGACCTAAATAAGCATGAACTATTGGGTTGGGCTGAATACGAGGAGGTTCTTCAGTGAAATAAATTTGAAAAATAAAAATAAGAACTAGTTAATCAATTTCAATTGATGTTAAGTTCCAATTGAAATTATATTAGACAAATGGATAACTAAAAGATTGTGGCGCCACAATGGAGAAAGCGGAATTCTGTAGAGGCATTTTACTATTAAATAACTGAATATTAAAACGTATTTCAGAAATATATGTGACAATTTTAGATCCTTGAACACATCATTAAAGCCAAAGTTTTCATAAACATTCAAAATGTTGTAAAGCTTTGATGCATTCGCCTTTGATTAATTAGAACTACCTACTAGTAGAACCAATGACAAAATCTTCTCCAACTTGTAAAGTTAATTGTTACAATCAAAAACCTCATTATTCGGCAACTCAAACAATGACTGTGTAAACATAGTTTAATTAAGGTTACCAAATGATAAATAATACTGTGACAATGAAAACCTAAATGACAATGTTCACTAACTATTAATTACTAAACATGATCTAGATAGCTTTTAATCTTTAAATAGTATAGCAAACCTGTCTCTTTGCTTGTTAAGAAATATAGCTACATATTTTATCATTATAGATATAAATGAAATATTTAAGTTCAATCATTTTGATAATCTAAATGGAGTTATTTATTTGTGACTGATGCAAACGAATAGTTATCTTGAATTTTATTGTTAATAGTAAAGTGGTAAATTAATTATGAACAAAGAAAGAAGAACATCAACGTATTCTTTCGTTGTTAAATTGTCATTTATAATAGAATATGATATTTGAGTATTTTATCAGAGTATTATTTAATTGAACATATTAGTTAGTGGCTTATATAGCATTGTATTATCCTTTTACTTATTCAGCTATTAACTCTGTCTAATAGTAACTTAATTAATGAAATTTTTTTCAACTTGTAAAATAGTTGCGTAATCCGAATAATATTTGAATCAATAAATTGAATTCATATTATCAGAAGGGGTTTTGTGGAGATTTTAGTCATTTCAATAGTTGACAATATGAATTCAATAGTTGAAATCATGAGTCAATTGAAGCTAGACCAGGTTTTCCATGGTGATCTAGCTTCACCTGACTCATAATTTCAACTATTGAATTCATATTGTCAACTTTTCCAAAAAAATGGTCAAATGAAAAGAGCAATCAAAGTTTCTTGGAATATACACTATGATACCGAAATGTAACCAAACTAGCATATAGTCTATGTATAAAAATTTATTGCATTTTCTTTATATAATTAATCATTAATTAATTCATAACACAATGAAAATTACTCATCATTCATTTGACAATCTAATGAGATAAACATAATATTCCTTGCAAATAATGGGATTCATTTTCATAACAGTCATCTATCAATTAAAAATGAGACAAACTTCTAATCATTCATATCTATTCTTTTGTGAATTTTCTTTTTGTTCTTTTTTTTGTTGTTGTTGAAATAAACATTGTCATGTGAATAAAAAAAAACAAGGGAAACAGTCGCACATTTTAAATTAACAAGGTTAAATCTGTCAATCTTTTACAGTATATCAACCTTCAGTCGATATATGAGTCCTGTCCCTCAAAGTTAGCTTATTTTTAAAAAAAGTTTTTTTCTTCGAGAAAAAGATCTATAATGTATTTTCCTTCAATGAAATATATTTCAGTTAGTTAGAATGGCAGAATCTAAACATATACTTGTCAGTATTATCTTAATGTTCGATCATCATGTGTTGTTTTCATCTGAATGCATTAATATAGACGAAACTTCTTTAAGCTTCACTTTTACTATTCATTTTCGTGATTAATTTTTATTTAGAACTTATTACGGAGTGATTCATATAGTCAACTGAACTGATTAACTGTCCGATTACTTTTAACTTATGATCTATGCTGGTTTGTATTTTCTTACACAGAATATTTTATTTTACAGCTTGTTACAAGCAAATAAAATTGTTTGATACAAAGCGATGTCTGAATTTTAACAAGTGTTAGTCTATGAAAAATGCTGACTGCTAAATAGTGTTAATCGATTAGAGAATGAAATGTAATGGTGTTGTATACTACTTATGCTGACAAATTTAAGTAGTATGTAGTTGCAATCGAAAGTGGAATGCATGGCAGCAGAGGAGTGAATTAAATTGTACAGAAATGAAATCTTAGAGGAATCGAAATAACGATAGAATTAGTGGAATAATGGAATATGTAAAGGACAACACAACGAAGACATGCAAATGATGTATTTGATATATGATTTTTATAATTTAGTAAGCCTCCTGAGTTCTTTACCACGTGATGACTAACCTGAATGAATGTATAAAAAATTGTACTCAGTGTTTTTTGCAAGTATTTTTGTATTGTCAAGAAGAACGCACTTAGTGTCTGAGTAATTGCTTAAGAAGTATGGTATAGCTAGACAAAATCATGACGTTGTTTTAGTAAGTCGATGACTGCTAATTTCAGAAGTGTGAGAAGTAATGAATTTGTTAGGTAGGAAGTCCAAAATTTAACAGTCTTATACTTTAGTAATATGGGTTAAAACAAATCTTGGTTGCACAAATACATTTGTACTTTAAATTATTCTATCTTTCAGACACTCATTTAGCAAACAGATATATTTTTTCTCAGTATGAGGGAGGGGGTCTTTGCTTCGACCCTATGTGGTGGTGTGGATGCGCATTGCTCAGAAGTCTTGTAATAGATTGAAACAGCTGTTCAACTTCTCCTGGTGTTTATTCGTGGTCTAGCTAAGATCAGTTAACGATTTAACCAATGAAACTATACGTATTGCATTGTTTGTTTACTAGCATCGATTTTGCTCATATTTAACACTTTTCACTCATGATTTACGACGGTTTTCGTCGATATATTTCAAAATATATCATAATGACGTAATGTTGTAACAGTTTTTACATTCCAGTATCCAACATTCTATTCGGTTTTATATCTGAGGTTAAGTTGCAAAATGCATATAACACTGAAAGGATGTCTTAGCTATCGTTACAAAGATACTAGTTTTAAACAATATGATTTAACTTCCAGTAACATTTTGACAGAATCAATTGAGAGACTTAGCTATCTTTGATTGCTACAACTTATTATATAAATCTGTCCAAATCTTAGTGTTTAACCTTAGGAAATAAACATTAGATATGTACAAAGCAAATGTAAATCAATTTGCCATCTCAGTTTATGTTGTTTGTATGATTTGAAAAAGTTCTGGTATTTTAACCCAATAGTTTATTATGACTATGCATGACGAAGAAAATCATTACAACATCCTAATACTGTAGTTAATAAGTTATTACACTATAGTTTGTACGTTAGGCATTTTATAATATTTCAACATACATTCGTATGAATGTTGAATTGGTTAATAAAAAAAAATGACTGAGTTAAATTTAGTCAGAAAATTGACCAGAAGTTCTTAACTTTAATTAATAGGTAATGTATTTCCATTTAAAAAGAATAGACGTAGATAAAACAATTACATAATAACTACTGATGATTGTGTTATGGAGATCTTTTGCTGAATAATAAATGAATAGTAGAGTTTAATAATATATCTTCTGTAAATTTAAATCATAAACAACATGCTTGTTTTTGAATTTGTATATTCTATTAATTATTCGTATTTAGCATAATTTAATTCGTTTAAATAATGTTGGCAACTATACTACTTAAAACATATATCAATATATTTAACTATAATCAACCCTTCCCTTTTTTTATATTATGAAAAAAAGTAACTAAGAAATAAACTGTATCTGTTAACAATAAAAAACTTTTAAGATGAAGATAGTTATCATTAAATAGACCAGACATATTAGAGAAGCGTTAACATTTTAAGTAACAAGAAAGAAAGAAAAATAGGAGAGAAAAATGTATTTAATTGTAGGTGAAAAATAACTCATAAACTATGTAATATCTCACTACTACTACTACTACTACTACTACTACTACTACTACTACTACTACTACTACTACTACTACTACTACTACTACTACTACAGGAAGAGGTGTTTCCAAATTCCATATCTTTAAAACTAAATCCATTCATTAATATTTTTTTCATAAAAAAAGGGGTCACAATGATATTGGAATGTCACTACATATTTCATGATGTTTATAAAATTACTTTTAATATATTTTTATAACCAATTAAATAGATTTATATTTTATATAAGTTATATGAAATCGATATAACCCTCTATATCTAATTTTTAGGTGTTTCATAAGTACTCATTAATTCGTTTGTGTTGTTTTTGTTTTTTCTATTCATTGTTCAAAAAATTAATAATCTTGCAGCGGTTCAAATGTTTTTTTTCCTTTATTTTTATCAGCTACATTTACAATGGAATCATGATTGATTGAATGAATGATAATTATATATATATATATATATATATATATATATATATATATATAGTACTATCATTTTTAATATCTATTTATTTGACCGAAGGTTGACTTTACAGCTTTCACAACTGTTTTATATTGTTAAAAATATAAAAATGTAAGTTCTTTTTTATCCAACACTAGGAAAGAAGAAAGACTTATAACTAATAATAAAGCAAAAAAAGAAATATTTTTATCATAATTTTTTTCTTTTTTTGTCTATGTTTTTTTTCACAAGAATTCCTTTTTTAACCTTCATCAGTTTTTGTAGACTAATATACATCCCATACACAGATATACAAATATCTAATGCCAAATCATAAATCATATATATATATATATATATATATATACATTCTATTCAGTTACACAATTCACCTACTGCTATTTTGTTATTAGATTACTTGTTATTAGTGTATAGTTTATATTCTTCCTTAGTTAAGAATATCATTGCTTATATTTATGAGGATAGAAAATCAGTTATATGTATATATAAATTTATCTGTCCACAATGTAAGTAAAATATCAATTTATTTACTTATACCTTCGCAAAGTTTGTGTAACATTTTATATAGAAATGTACAAATCTTCTGTCTGAATCTTAGATCATAATATGAAAATCATGAATTGAAATATCATTCCGTTCTAATATATATATATATATATATATATATATATATATATATATATATATATAGGTATTCACATTTTATGTGAATTAACGCCATACTTATATAAAATACTCATCTGTGTAGTTCTTTTTTCTTGATCAAAAATTCAGGACAATAGAATAATGCTTTAGAACAAGCAGTTTTTAATGATTTCATTTTGGAGTCCTATAGTTTTACGTAGATAAGTGCTGTTTATTAAACAACTATTGTGAGGGATAAGCAATATTGACCAGTAAAATATGTATATACCAATGATGATAGTGGAGATTATTGAAATTGTTAGAAAACAGTGTGATTTATGAAAGAATTTTAACATTTGGTTTCATAGTTCAGAAAATGTCCTGTTAAATATATCCTAGTTTTAGTTACTTTAAATTATCTCTAGATTCTAAGGAAATCTTTCCAAAAGTTATTTAATTAAATTTTAATTGTACATGTCACTACGTAGGCTATATACTACATTGATTTCCTCAAGTTCTTGTGTAAATCTATGAATTCCACCATCTCATATTGGTGACGAATGATTTGATCGATTGGTGCGCGGTTTACAAATGAAATTGATCGTGTGTTAGAAGTAGTTGCATGAATTTATCAACTAGATATATTTGTTCATTATAGATACCTAACTGTATGATATTGAAAATGTGTGATCAACCGAAGTTGAATATTGATGAGATCAAGTTAAACAAATCCAATTGGTAATCTATCTGTGAATAATTCATATAGAGTGTTATGTATTCATACGTTAGTTTGATTTATTTCGTGGTTTAAATATATTAATATCAACAGTCCTTGAGTTTCCGCTACCTGTCGTAGGATTTGGGGTTTTCAGCACTAGACAGAAGTCAGTTGAGAATTTGCGAATATAACACAATCAAGGAAAAAAGGAGTCAGTCAATTGTCTGTCAATAACATTGAATGTAATTAGCATTATAAAATCGATTGGATGTTCAAAAAATGTGGACTACAGTTCAAAACAAGCTGACAGACAATAGAAAAGACTTCGATATTGTCGTGACTTTTCCTGCCTTTCCCCAAACATTTTATTCATGGTTCGTTTTTTAAAAATTATGGTTATGTGAGATATAATATACCGACGACTTCAAAAAACATAAGAAAGCATAGATGGCAGTTTCCTTTAAATTGCTCTCTCTTAATATGCCTTAATTTCTTTTATTGTGCTCTAATCTTTGCAAAAATACATTATTTTAGCATCTATTCAACATATCGTAAATATAACTCACTATACTTTTAGTAAAACAATAAATGATACCTTACTAAAAATAAATGATGATTGACACTGTTTTAGCAAAAGTATCAAAACGTTTGTCATAGACGAAAACAGTATATTCAAATAGTGGTTGAACGAATGAATATTTTTCTAATATAAGATTAGCTTCTAAGGATAAATCAACTTTTCAAACATGTAGAATTAAAGGATTAGTTTTTGAATCTGCCTGTTTAAAGTTAGAGACGTATTACTGAATGCCAGTAATGCAATAGTAGATTTCCATTAGAATTTCATCAAAAAATGTGGTCTGCTTGAAACTAAAAACGGCATTTGGAATGAACTATATACACACGCACACACTATTAGCTCACTTCAACACGCAAAAATGCATTCGAATGCACCGACGATACTTACTCAAATGAATGAGATCGTGCCAATATAAAATGACTGTGCTTTATTTTAACTGGTTCTTCTTCTGACATTATTCAACAGTACATATTTTAGGGATGATTAACAGCATAATGAAAACCAACCCAGTGAACCATTCCTCTGAATTCGCATGCGAGTTTGCATTATGCAGACATATTTTAGGTTAAAGATATTTTAATGACCGTTAGAGATTTGTCTTATCGTTGTAGTTATGACCGTTCGCAGTCCGTCATATAAAACAATTCCAATGAAACTTTTATAAAAAGGAATGACTGATGGAAAATTAGCAATCTGAAGCACTAACTACTATGGTTACTTCTTATTAGTACTGTATTGCGTTCGACATAACATTTGAAACTTTTTTGAAGAGAAGATGAACTTGTTTAGGTAGCAAATCAATATTTGTAGTTTTTTCAACAATACAACAACTGAATTTATAATTCAAGCGAATAGAGCAAACTTACTTCGTCTAGCTATATACATTTGTTTGGATACAGGGGGGAATTCCGGTACAAAAGCTGTACATATATACGTCCCAAAATCTTCTTCTTTTAAATTTTCACGTTTCAGTGAAACACTGCGTGAAAGAACTTCCCTACCACCTTCACGTCTCCATTCAATATGCGGTGTTGGATTACCTATTGCTGGACAATCCATTAAAACATCTTCACCTAGAGATGCTGTGAATAGTAAAGCTGAAGCTTGATGAAATTGAGGTCCAACTAAAATAATCAGAAATAATGATACTTTTGAATACTTATTGCTTATATGTTGAAACTAAATAATTTGCTTTATATTACATTCGATTTGAAGATTAAAAGCAATAGGTTGTATTATTTATTTCACCAGAAATTATTTATTAAAAGTAGAAGGGATTTATACTTTCTCAAAACACACTATTCATTAACATCCTCACTAGTGTTATTATCTAATAGGATTAGACTGAAAGGAGTAAATCAATTGGTAACGATATATTTGTTAGCAACGTTGAGTGATCAAGTTTTAAGTTTGTGACGAATCATTCATTTATTCGACACAGTATAGGCATATTTTTTAACCGACATCCAGGAACGTTTTAATGAAGTGTAGTCAAACATCATATATCTTCTAAGCTGATAAGCTTAAAAATTATTATCTTAAACAGTGAAACAAATATAAACTCTCTGAATGTTCTTTAAAATCTGTTGAACTGGAGTAACAGGTCGTCAATGTTTAAAAAGATATTCAAAATTCCTTTGCACTCTGTAGTATTTTCTTTGTTTTGATTTTCTTGATTTGATTTTGGTTTTCTACATACATCTTGACTATATAAACTGATGGAAAATTATTTATTTTCTAGTTCCTAAGATTCAGTATCATTTATTGGAGGAACTCTAGACTATTGATCAAAACTTTACTGGCTTAAATCCAATTTTAATATTTCCTTGTAGCTTTGCATATCATTGTATATTAATATTATCGGTTGTATGGTCGTGATTGAAGTTAGTCTACAGGAAAATCTGGATATAGGTTTAGTGCTATTTGGGACACATCGCAAAGGTCAACGTGCAATCTTTAGGGCACTTCTGCTCCCTGGTCAAAGGTTTCCTATCGACTACCTCCAACCACCACCTTACATCTCACTATAGTACATCCAATGTCGAGTCGCTTAGAATAGTGACCACACTGCGATTTAGTCTATGGAATTCGGTCAGCATTAAGAAGGAATTGACATATATAGAAAATTGTAAAATCCGTATATTCTTTTAATCTCAAAGAGTTTAGATTAGCTTCTTTACCACAATGTTCTGTAAAATTGTGATAAATATCATCTATTGATACAATGAGTCGTCCGATAATAATGGAATTGTTAATAGAATAAACTGATTTATAAAATATTAGGTACTGCAAATTGTTAAACCATATGTTGATAATTGGACAATCGATCATCAGTAAACATAAACTATATATAATTAAACGGCAGCATTGTGATATATAACCTAAGTAGGCAGTGAGCCAACATTTATTGGCTGTTAACTTTTAGTTAACATGCAGTAAATTCTAAAATGTTAACTTATACTATCGAGGTAAATTCTCATTGGTTTTCATCAAGTAATATCATCATATAGAAGAAATAAACTCACATTTAACTTTTATTGTTGTTTCAGCAACTCCTTTTTTATTTGAGATTGCAATGCACCGAAATACAGATTGATGTAATTCACGTGTTAATCGGAGACGATACCATGATTCGGCGATATTTTCAACTTGACGTCCATTTACATACCATCTAAAATAATAAAAAAGAATTGTGATATTACTTTCGAGAGAGCAACAAAGAATGAATAAATCTACTCCCAACTTTTTAAACTACTAGTTACATCTTTTGGCATGGATCTTAGCTATACAGTTTGAACGTTCTCACTACGTTCATTAAAAAAGCCAGCGATATGATAGACTGATTTTGTGTTGTAGCCTTTGTCCAGTTTTTTTATAAGGTAGTCATCATCTATTAGTTGGGAATTCGGTTATGCATTTGTAACACATGTACCATCAACTCAATCAACGAAACTTTACAGCCATACTAACAGATAAACCGTTTTTACCAAGTAACCTTCGATTAACTACAAGATTGCTTTCATCATCATCTGAAACTTGATCATGTCTTATATTTTGCTGAGTAATATTTCACAAACATGAAATAAATATAAATTATGCTACTATACAAAAAAGATGAAAGAAAAAGTCACCAAATCGGTCGTTTCCTAGACTGTTTGAATGAAAGAATCAATTTATAAAATACTACTTTAATTCTTTACAGGAAACAATTGGTAAAGTATCGCATATTTTCTTCAAATTATGAAAGATAAATTTAACAGATGGTCATACCGGAAATTATCATTGTTTCAATATATATATATATATATATATCGTCTATCACTTTTATAATTTTAAAACTATCCTAACAAACACTGTACTTTTATTAGTCTCTATAACATAAAAATGTATAAAAATAGCCAAGTGTAACAGACCAACTAATTAAAATAATAGTAACTAAGTAACCTTTTTTTGTTATGAGTTTTATCAATAAAACTATGCCTGAAATACATAAAACGTGAATATGATTTAAAGAAATAAAAAACAATAAAACAACCACTAATAATAACAATTACTCTCATTAGATTGGAGTAAAATACCAAAAAAAACTAATAGGGTCATATTTCGGAAATTTCGTTTTAGTTCATATACCCAGTCATTCTATCAATATAGTTTTTCTCTTTTATTTTATGTTTTTTTGGTATAGAAAAATATTTTTTAAACTTATTTAATTCAAATGAAAGGTTACCATCTTAAAATTTATTTTAAAGAAGAAACAAACGAACAAACAAAAAATAAAGACATGAGTATGAATTTCACTGGTTGAAATCATGAGTCAATTGAAGCTAGACCGCCATGGAAAACCTGGAAGCACTGGACGGCCGTTTTGTCCTAGTATGGGACTCCTCAGCAGTGAGCATCCACGATCCTGCCTCCCGCGAGATTCGAACCCAGGACCAACCAGTCTTGCGCCAGGCGCTTAACCAACTAGACCACTGAGCGGGCATCTAACGGTGTTAATGTCTAACTTCAACCAATCCACGCGGGGGGCGGGATCGTGGATGCGCACTACCGAGAAGCCCCATACCAGGACGAAACGGCCGTCCAGTGCTTCCAGGTTTTCCATGGCGGTCTAGCTTCAATCGGATCATGATTTCAACCAGTGAAATTTCTAAAAATCTCCACGAAACCCATTCTGATAATATGAACATGAAGTTGATTTAGACTACTTATTAAAACATAATGATTACGTAACATTTTGTTTTAACTAAAACCATTTTAACTATTAAGAAAGAATATGCTTTTTTTAAGAAGAAAAATGTTTCTAAGCCATTTTCAAACAAAAAGAAAAGGTGACAGAAACAGACTATTCACTTAAATAAAAGAAAAAAATAAACCCCGAAATATATTGAGACATGTGCTTTAATTTATACAAATTAAAAACTTAATTTTTAATTTGTTTATTTTTAAAAGAAACACTTAAATATTTTATTTTGATCTCATTTTCATTTATATACATCAGGTGATTGTTTATTATGGTTATGTAAGCTAAATTTCAAAAATTATATAAAAATTTTTTAAATTTATTTCTTCATTAGGTTCTATTAGTTTTTGCAAATGTCATAAAGAACATTTCCAAAAAAGTAGACAATACTAAGTGCTTCCAGGTTTTCCATGGTGATCTAGCTTCAACTGACTCATGGTTTCAATCTGTGAAATTTCTAAAATCTCCACAAACCCCTTCTGATAATAATCATCTGCACACTAGTGACTGACTTCAGGAGATACTCCTAGAGTTCTAGTGAGAAGCCGTTACCAGTGGAGTTCAAGCAGGTCTGTTGTGAGATATCAGCTCACTGAAGACAATTGTGTACGGTGGATTAGTTGAATCTCGCGGGGTGCTGGATCGTGGGTGCGAACTACTAAGGAGTCCCATACTAGGACGAAACGGCCGTCTAGTGCTTCCAGGTTTCCCATGGTGGTCTAGCTTCAATTGACTCATGATTTCAATCTGTGAAATACTAAGTGAATTTAAAACTTTACCCTATTGGACAAGCAAGTGACTATCTGAACTTAGAAGCTAAGTGAATAACTCGATGGCGTTTTGAAGTGGACGGTACTGAGTTCAAGTCTTAGAATGAACATGAACTCTGAGATGCAGATATATCTAGCTGATGAGTCTTGAATAGCACGAAATGTGCATCCTGGATTCCATTGCTAGCCACTATCTATCTTTACTTATAACATTTCCAACAGTTTTGAAATTTTCAATCATTCATCATATTCGACTTTTAGATACAAATCCAATATTATTTTTTGAAGAAAAATCCAAATAGATGATTGCAATATTAACTATTCTAATCACGTAATATTTTTTAATTGGATACTTGTTAAAATTTGATCAAAACTAAGATTAATGAAGATTGTGTAATTTATTGATATTAGTAATAATACAGATACGATAAATATAATGACTGTCTTAATTTGGAACTTAATTTACTGTTTTTTAGGTCATATAGCCAACCAAATGAAAATAAAGAGGAAAACTCCTATTGTTGCGATATATGGAAAGAAATGGTGTCTTTTTGTATGCAAAATACTTAACCATAGTGGTTTTAAAGAGATTTTACTAATGAGCTTGTATCATTCAAACAACTGTGAGAAATTTTTTTAAAGGGGATTAGTCAACTATTTCTTTCTGTTGTAAGGTTAACTGATAATATGCATCTACATACACTCTTCAATTAATAATTTACAGCTAAATGGATTTTCTAAAGTTCAAGATTGAAAATACCGTTAAAATAAATACGATATAAATTGTGAATTTCCTGTCTGAAGGAATTAGAAGTGAAGAGTATTAGGATTAACAAACAAATTAACTAAATACACTGAGATAATGATGCTAACAGCAGAAACCAAGAGAGTGGCAAACTAAGCTATAAAGACACTTACTCCCAGAAGAATGAATCTGGTCTTCCGTGTGCTGTACATTCAACAGTAATAATGTCATGTTCCATAAATTGATTGTCAGGTCGCGAGGGACGTACTTGTATACTCACAACAGGAGCGTCTGAAAAAAATGAGTAAAACAATTTTTATATTAGGCGGTTAGTTCATTCATAAAAATAAAATTGACTTAGGATGCTTTGATGCTAAGAGTTATCGCAAATAAGTCTCAGTATAAGCATATTTTCACATTAGAATGAAATTAAATTTGTATGCTTCGCTACGTGGTCTGGCTAGCATTCGTCGTTAAAGCTTTACATTGAAGTAAACAAGCACTGTATCACAGAGCTTACTTTAATCATTAACTTGATTATTCCTCTTTTAGAACGTATGTTAGCTCGCGGTGATCACGGGTTCTGGAAATTTCACAGTATTCAACGTAACTCAGGCTCTGAATGATGAAAATATATAGTCAATGAGATGCTTAATTCGCCGACCGAGTACTGTTATATATTCAAATACTTCTTAAAACATTTTAGATGAAATAATAGTATATTTGTTGTGATAACTTGATGAGTAGAAAATTGAGACTAACATTTTCAGATTAAGTGTAAATTTCTCCAAAAAACAATTAGTAAAATTGATCAAACTGGCTATTTGTTTACTTAATCAATCACAAAATCTAGACCAGAGAGATAACAGAAGATAATATCACTGTAAAGGCCACTAGAAAATAGTCTGTTTTCTTTCAACTATTATCATGACTAACATTCAATAAAATTCTATTTCCTAATCAAAACGGTCTTAATTTTCTGGTCATATTACATACGTAATATAGCGGACTTTTTGCGTAGTCACTAAAATGTCAAAATTTATGACGAGACTATTGTCTAACAAGAAATATGAAATATAATTTGTAATATAAATAATACATGATATTTGCCTATTGAAACCACGGAACTTACAATGTACTTCAATTTTTGTCTGAGCTGGACGAAGTGTATGCATTTCATATCCAGTATTTTCTGCTCTACATTCAACAAGTTTGCCATGATGCAATTTATTTAAATGTGCCCTCATTGAACTAGTTGCATCAACTCTGAAAGAGAATAATCGATATCAGGATAAAGTCATTTGCTTGAAGTAAAATAGGAAGAAAATATATTATTGGAGAATATTTTTATAGAACATAAGACATGATATAGTTATCAATGAAATTCTTTTCAAATAAGTTGTTTCAAGAATCAAGTAAACTCATGATATTGATTGAACCTATGTCCAATTATTATTAATTTGCAGTTTGCTTGATCAAATTTTATCTCATTCAGTCTAAACTTACTTCCCATCTATCTGTTTTGATTTTATTCATCACAGTCTTCAAATTCCCTTCAATTATTGCTTAGTACATCCTGTCAGTTTTCGAATTTCAAGACAATTACTACCATAACTCTTTCATGTTTTCAATATCCGTTTTAAGGTTTCCTTCTTATGCTTATTCATAAATATGTGTATATATTGCTATCATTTTCATCTTATCATTCATAGTTATTTGCTATTTAGAATAATTTTGTACTTCAATACAAATATAGCTGTAAGTAGACAAGGATATACCATGTAATTAAATCAGTTCACACTATTCTACCTCATTTGTTATTCTCGCTTTATTTCTATTTATTAAGTGAACTAATTATACGAACCGTACGTGCCCAAGTAATTTCCCATATAGAATAATATTAAACATTTGGTTTAAATGTATCATGTTAATTCATTACAGACAGTTGCCAATTAAAGAAATAATGAAAGCCAGGTTACACTTAACAACCATTTCGTCCCAAAGTACGCATCGTGAGCGGTGTGCGTTCACAACTCAGAATTGGTTTAAAGCTCCAGTTTTGAATTCTCAGAGACTTGTTACGAAACCAAGAAACGTGAAGTCATTCAGGTTAGGTGTGATCTTAGTGTTTGATTTCTCTGGTTGACATCAAGCCTAAGTACAAACCGCCTTTAAATGAAACACGGTCTGTACAAGTTATGGATATGATGAACAAGCACTTAATCGTTTGAGTGCCAGGAATATATCAAATTGATCTTCTTTCACACGTCTTTGGTATATAATCATATCCTGAAGAGTAATTATGTAGCTTATTCAATTTGTTATATCCATTGGTCTTTAATGATCGATGTTAGAAGATTACAAATGTGTTGACGAATCTGGCTGCTAATCTGACTTAATAAATCATGTAAAACATAGTGTATTCATACATTGTTCTAAGATATCCTCAGGGTCAAATAAATCCTTGTCCATCCTCGTAAAGTTCTTATAAGGGTCATCCAATCTATACGTGTCTGGTACCAAGTGCCAACTCGGTTAGCTGTTTACGTAGATACAACAGTTATCAAAATAATTATGGTTATGTTGTTGTGAATGACTAAAGTGTAGATCAATTTTTCGAAGTTCCATTATCAAATTGGGACTTTTGAAATCCCATGTTCCAGAAATGGAATATTAATTGATGAAATATAACGATAGTTTGGCCACCCCGCCAACTAACTATAATTTAAAATATGAAGTCTTGAACCAAACAGAATGACTTTAAAATATCTTACTTATTAATAAATTTGGATTTATCGAGTTGGTTGTGAGGTATAATGGGTGTGTATTGATTAGAGTTTTCAAACCAAGGTAAAAACGAGTCTACTACCTTCTGGATTTTATTAGTTCTCCACCTAATTTTAGTTGGTGATGTTAAGCTGGATAAAAAAAGCATATTGATTGAGATCATGAACCGATTGATGTTAGACCACCGTTGGAAACCTGGAAGCACTGGACAGCCGTTTTGTCCTATTGTGAAACTTCTCAGCAGTGCTCATCCACTATCTCACCTTGCGGGATTCGAACCCGGGGCCTTTAGCCTCATGCGCGAGCGCTTAACCTACTAGACCAATGGGTAGGCATCCAACGGTGGTAATGTCTAACCTCAACCAATTCACGAAATTGCGCGACCATCTTCGATTGTACTGAGGTAGGTCTCTACCCTACACGGATTAACTCCACTGGTCGCAACTTCTTACTAAAACTCCAAGAATTCCCTGACGAATCTAGTTATTGCACATTGAAATGCTTATATTTTTAATATTTGAAAGGATAAATTATTAATAAATAATAAATGATGTTTATTGAAATATAAACATTACTAGTCATACCAATTAAAGAGTAATAATTGTAGAAAGATATTCTCTAATGTATAAAATGATTTTCAATTAAATGAGATACATAAACGTACAAAGTACAATGAATAAAAGGAAACCATATTTACATTTTCACATTATATTTTTGCCATTCACCCCACCCCCTCTGTTATTCCTATTCAAACTAAATATATTTCACAACAGGCGGTCACATTCTTTCAAACGAATAATGGTGAAACATGATTTTTTGTGAAAACACCAATAATGATAATTTAGATGAATTCAACTGATAAATCCTAAAATAAAATGAATGATGGGTTCTTTGATTGTTGTTTCCATGATGACTTTTTGGAGTTATTTTTCATTTTTCTTATACTAATTATATAAAACTTTAGTACATTATTTTATTTATGACGTTTTTCTATGAATACATCAGAAATTGTGAAAAAAAACACAACACAGTTTCTTTAATCATTTTAAAATGATTTAATATTAAAGCTTAAAATGAAGTAGTTTTATAAAATGTTTTAAATATTTTAAAAGTTTATATTCTTTTTTAATAGTTCACAAGCTAGTAAAGAAATATTTTAAGCATTTACAAAATCAGAAGGGGTTTTCGTGGATATTATAATAATTTTAATAGTTAAGATCATGAGTCAATTGAAGCTAGACCATCATGGAAAACCTGGAAGCACTGAACGACTGTTTCGTCCTAGTATGGGACTCCTTAGAAGTGCTCACCCAGGACCTAGCAGTTTCACGTGCGTGCGCTTAACCATTAGACCACTGAGCCGACTGGCATCCAACGGTGTAGATGTCTAACTTCAACTAATCCACGAAATTGAGCGAAACATCGGCCACTGTCTTCAGTGAGTTACTATCGCACAACTGACTAGATTGAACTCCAATGATCACTGCTTCTCACTAGAACTCCAGGATACACCTCTCAGAGACGGTCACTAGTGAGCATATGTTGTGAGATAGTAACTCACTGGAAACATTGGTGAATGTGTCGCTCAATTACGTGGATTAGTTGAAGTTAGTACATCTACACTGTTGGATGCAAGTCGGCTCAGTGGTCTAGTGGTTAGGCGCTCGCGCGCGAGACTGATTGGTCCTGGGCTCGAATCTCGTGAGGCGGGGTCGTAGATACGCATTGTTGAGGAGTCCCACAATGGAACGAAATGGCTATCCAGTGCTTCCAGGCTTTCCATGGTGGTCTAGCTCCAATTGACTCATAAACTCAATTATCTAAGTTTACAAAATCATTAAAAAAGTCACTATATAAATTACTACTAATTATAATAATTTTATTCTAACGAATGAATAGATACTATAGGAACGGTGTAAGTTAACATTCAATAAAAATTATTGAAGACCCAATGAATGTCAGTTTCGTACTAGTTAAGGTATTTATTACTAACGATTGACTACATTATTACTCAAGTTCAGACTGATGTACTTTTATGAGCTTGATATTATTAAGTTATTGACTTGTAATTTCAGACATGAATGAGATAATCGAAGGATATTTTCTAGTTTTCTATAGTTCTCTAACTGATATCAGACTTTGAATCCAACAAAATGTAAAGAAAGAATTCACCGAAACTTATTTAATCGACAAGGATATGTAAAGTATGACTGGCTTAAGTATGTTTCAGTATAAAAGTGTAAAAGAAGGTGACCGAAATGTGTGATATTTAAATTGTAAATGATTGACATTTTTTTAAACGATTAGTTGTGTTTGATTTATATTTAATTTTATCCCAATATAATATGGAGCATATCATGATAAATTAAAAAATTATGTAACCATTATAGGCAACGAAACTATCAAGGCTAAATCACCCCTCTCGCAGCAGATTAAACAAAGTAGAACTTTACATGTAAGTGGGAAATTACATTCGTTACTTTACTTATTGATATAAATTTAAAAAAATAGTGAAAAATGTTAACATAAGAATCAGAGAGGAAGTAAGGAACAAATGATATAAATATGCATCAACAGTGCTTAAGATATAGAAGAAGACTAAAATTAGTAATATTTTATGTAACTATGATTAGTTTTTTTTGTCGACTAAGGTCAGATAGTTTCATTCTTAAGAGTCGTACTTGAAAAACATGTTTCGACCCAGCGGATAAAGCTATCAATGGATTAGTTCAGCATTCTTTTCGGAAAATAATTGATGAATTTTAGCGAAATTGAAAGTTAAGAAAGAAGCAATGGCTTACTAAGTGTAGATTTCCACAACAAACTTGACAAAATAATTATAGATACCATGCATAGAAATTTTCCAAGGTAATTTAGAAATGAAAACAAATGAATGGCATTAAAAATCTTTTAGATAAATGTTGGTGAAAATAAGGTAAGGATTATCATTAGCTCATTTGTTCGCAAAATATCAGCCATTTTAGAAACTTCTCCAACTAAGACATTAAAACTAAACTAAGTAAAAAAGAACTTGATTTGAAAGTAGTGTTTGTCATTGTTTGATACCGATAGATCAACAGAGTAACATTTGGATAATACAGTGATAAAACGAAGTTTGTTAGACTAATGTGATATATTAGCCCAACACCTTTTAAACAGTTTGGTAACACATATGTTTATTAAGATATTTATATATTTAAAAAAAGTTCATACTAGACAAATCAGAAGATAAGAGAAAACAAGCACAATAAAAAAGTGTGAAACACACCACATTGGATAATAAATTATTATTATCAGAGTAAGTTCAAGGTGTATTTGGCTAATATATCACATAGTTCTAATAAATTCCATTCCATCAAAGGGATTAATTGTTTTAAATTTTTGGAAAGAATAACATTTCTCATATAAAACCCAAGGTTTAATATATTCAAGCATTAAATATGTAACTATACAAGTCTTTATGCTAGATAACTAGCTTC